GAACAAGGGTATCCTAGCTGTACCATAGGTAGTGGGATTGCTTTATATTCACAGGATTCTTATGATATGCTGAACGGAACGGAGCTCCTCTCTCTCCACACTCGGGAACCAGGATATCTAAGCGGTCCAGCCTCCAGCTAGCTTGGAGGTAACCGTAACAATTGGTGGCAGTGGCGGGATCGTCCTGGAATTCCTAGGAGAGGTACAGAGCGGATGGAGAGCGCTTATGACAAGCTGAAACGCACCACGTTAAAGGATCTGCTAGAAAGCCGAGGTGGGAACGCTAGCAACCGACCTAGGAGGGAGCTGACCGCAGAGCTGACGGAACTGGATCAAAGCCTGACAATGACGAAGGCTCCGATGTCCGCTAGCGAAGAAAAGAACAGGATTGTCTGGGAGAGGCTCTCCTGGTTCAGCCCGAACCCGACCGTAGAATTAATACAGCAAACCATGGCACAAGTGGATGTGGAGATCCGAGAGGCAAGAGCACACGAGCTCAGCCTGTGCACCCCCCACAAAACCCCACTGCAGGGATGACAACTAACCCGGCAGAGAGGACTGAGAAACCAAAGATTTGCCATGCAGCTTTCCGATCATTCCTAGAGAATGAGATGGGGATCGACGAATATCTGGCCGACTTTGAGAGGCAGTGTGCGCTCCACCGAATACCCAGCGAGGACTGGCCCATATTATCGGGGAAACTGTCGGGCCGAGCCCTAGATGCTTTCCGGACACTATCTTCCGAGGAGGTGACTCAATATGACCGGGTTAAAGACACCTTGTTACAACGGTATGCAGTAACCCCAGATACTTATCGCAGGCAATTTAGGAACATGACGAAAAAGCCAAAAGATACGCATACCAGGGGAAACTACCTAACTACCATTGACCTCTGTAAAGGTTATTGGCAAATTTGTCACCCCGTTCGGCTTGTACCACTTCAAGTTAATGCCGTTCGGGATGAAGAATGCCCCAGCCACATTACAGTGCTTGGTGGATAGACTCCTGGATGGCTTCCAGGGTTTTGCCTGCGCATACCTGGACAACATAGCGATCCACAATGAATCATGGGAGGAACACTTATCTCACGTAGGAATGGTCCTGGATCAGATTCGGGTCGCTGGCCTGACTCTAAAGCCAGAGAAATGCCATTTTGGAAAGGCCGAGGTACAGTATTTGAGTCACCAGGTGGGGTGTGGGAAACAGCGGCCAGAGGCGTCTAAGATAGAAGCTGTCGCCAACTGGCCCACCCCCACCACCAAGACTTTTTGGGCACTGCAGGATACTACAGGCGTTTCGTGCCTGACTACAGTACCATAGCCAAGCCACTGACCGACCTGACTAAGAAAAATGCCGACAGGTTATCCCGACAAACAGACCTCAGTCCAGCCTAACCCACCGGTCTGGACAGCCTTAGTCTGCCCCGAGAATGGGTCAGACGGTGTCTGCCAGAGTGTTTCACTAGGAGGGAGCACTGTTACGGGCGCTCTACAGATCGTTACGGGACTACCCTGCTTATTTTACCGTATACTCTGTTTCGGTAGTTATAATGTATAAAACACATTACATGAACAGTCAGGACTATGTATTCATGCATACGAACAAAAGACCACCCGGCCTTTGGCGTGTGCCGCCACTTAACCTTTTTCACCTTTAAAACAAGCGAACGACTGACCACCCTACAAGCGGAGGGTGCGGTTAACCGCAAGCCTAATTGACTGCCTCAGGGTGGCCTTGTTCAGGTAATAATTCACCGAACTGAAACTCCCGAAAGACTCCCGAACGAGAACCACCTACACCCGGACGTGTGGCCCCAATTAGAATGTTGGGTCTGCGGTTAACCGCAAGCTAAGTACCCCCCTTCATGGCGGTCTCTGTTCGGCTCACGAAGGGCTGGGACAACCATCCTCTGAGCGGTATTCACGCAATTGTTCACCCGCTACTCATTCCAGGGGTTTTAGGGCCAGGTCCAGCTCTCTATTCACCAGCCTGAAAACATGGCCGCCATCTCGTGTTCGGGACAAAAAGGCACGAAACGACTTTGTATTGAAGAAACTAGCTATAACGTTCGTGAGATCTGAACGATATTTGCCTATCTGCTGCGCTCAGATCTGGGCTATCTAACGAATGGTGAAATATAATATGTGTCTTTAACGGATCACCTGGCACCCCGAATGGGTACCTCCGTTGAAGGATGCTCCTAGTGCTTCCTGAGGGCTCCAAGCACTCCAGTCAACACCATAACCACTGTAGACTCCTCCAGAGAGCAAGACAGGAACAAGCTCTTACAAGAGCTTAGTAGTGATATAGCAAGGGAGTATGACTAGCATAGCAATCCCTTGTACCAGATTCCCCCAGTAACGAGATGACACTTCGTTTTGAGGGTCAAGCAGAACCGACTGTACTGGCACATACAGCCTCTTTTATTCACAATCCACAAACATAGTACTGCCCACAGGGTTTTGAAATACAACCAATCAATACGTACAATACACACAGACACTTCCACACAAAATCCTCCCCTCTGCCTGTGATATGATTACTGAACACAATGGGTAATATAATTATCACAAGAAGAGAAATACAGTTTTTACAAAATATTAATAACTTCCCAAATATACATGCCATTCATATAAAACATACATTTTCAGAATCCGCATGCTTGAAATATACACATACTCAAAAATCAGGGCAATCGGTTCAGGGGTTAAAAAGTTAAGGGAAAGTCCTATTTGACAAAATGTGACTCTCCACTCCTGGTAGAATACTCTGCCGCTGGGGAGCAGGACCGACTGTCCGTACTCCCTGTAGCTTGGGCGCAGGGAGTACGGTGGGGGGCTTAGTGTCTCCCCTTGGTGGGCAATGCTGCCGCTGGGAAGAGGGGTTAACAAGCTCCTCTCCCTTACACACTTTCAGCCGCTGCGGAGGAAGGACGGCACCTTCGGCTCACTGTGATACATACTGCCGCTGGGGAGGAAGGACAGCACCTTCAGCTCCCTGTGATACAAACTGCCGCTGGGGATCTGGGCCAACCGCCCAGCATCCCCGTAGGGCCGGTAGAGAGGCCGCCGTCCCATCTCCACCTGCCCTCTGTGGGTTTTCCCAGGACCAGTCTGTGAAGTCTCTCAACATTTGCGAGTAAGGACCACCTGCTTCCGCACCTCGCTACTCCGGCTGCTGCTGGGGATCTGGGCCGGCTGCCCAGCATCCCGGTGGACCCAGTGGAGAGACCTCGGTCCCATCTCCACCTGCCTGTTGTGGTTCCTCACAGGACCAGTCTATGAGGACCCCTACTTCGGGTTCCTCCGTCCGCCTCCGTGGAAGACGGCTAACCTCCTCAGATGCAGCCTCTACTCGGCTGCTGTAACACTCCTTCCGCTGAGCATACTCTCTCTCTTTCGGCAGCCGGAATTCTCGGTCCAGCCTTGTGTTTCGCTCGGCCGTGACCTGGTTCCAGATCACCCGGCGTATCTCCATGGGTACATCATCCCCATACTGGGCCACTCGTTGCCTCACCTCGGCCAGCCAATCATCTTCAGAGCCAGAGCCCTCTGCTCCCAGGGATGCTGCACGAATGCTAGCATTGACCTCAATTTGTAACTCCACGAACGGTGTCTCTGAGCTGCTTTACCTCGCACTAGGACGCCATCCCACCGCAAGCTCTCCAGCTGACACCATAACCACTGTAGACTCCTCCAGAGAGCAAGACAGGAACAAGCTCTTACAAGAGCTTAGTAGTGATGTAGCAAGGGAGTATGACTAGCATAGCAATCCTTTGTAGCAGATTCCCCCAGTAACGAGACGACACTTCGTTTTGAGGGTCAAGCAGAACTGACTGTACTGGCACATACAGCCTCTTTTATTCACAATCCACAAACATAGTACTGCCCACAGGGTTTTGAAATACAACCAATCAATACGTACAATACACACAGACACTTCCACACAAAATCCTCCCCTCTGCCTGTGATATGATTACTGAACACAATGGGTAATATAATTATCACAAGAAGAGAAATACAGTTTTTACAAAATATTAATAACTTCCAAAATATACATGCCATTCACATAAAACATACATTTTCAGAATCCGCATGCTTGAAATATACACATACTCAAAAATCAGGGCAATCGGTTCAGGGGTTAAAAAGTTAAGGGAAAGTCCTATTTGACAAAATGAAGCATGGTTTTCCGGCCCAAAACCAGTTCCACCGAGTCTTCTATCCTGGAGATAATTGGGGAAGTAATCCAATTATCTCCAAGGACAGAGGCAAAACTCCATTAGCCACATGGTAGCAAAATACAATAAAACACATAAAAATATATAACTGTGCAGCTATTGCATAAAACGGGTACATTCAACATATCCCCAGATAGCTTAGATCTGAGCGCAAATTTTATAACATGACAGGAGGCTTCCTATTTTGCATTAACTCTCTTTACTAAACTCCACAGCAGTAAAGAAAAACATAAAGAGTAACATATAAATCACTGAGCAGCACAGTATATAAGGGTCATGCTGCCTGTACACTTCCTCTTTCTTTACTGCTCCATCGCAGACAGGTCAGACTATTTGGCTCCTGCAGAGCTTTATTCATTTATTATTATTAGTCTGTTTATTTTATTGTTATCCATTATTTTATTATTGTATATTAGCTGTTTTCATTGTATTTTCCTTACTAGCTGGGCAGTGGGATTGGGGGCTTCCTTTGGGTGTCTTTATCCCCTCTTAGCTGCCCCTCTACTGGCCCTGGGACCCCCCCCTGGGCTTTGCCTTGGGTTCCCCCAGGTTCCCCCACCGCCCTACTAACTTGGAGTGCCCTCCTGGGCTCCCTCCTTGCGGCCGGAATTGATCGCGGCCATTTTCGCGCCGGCCTGCTTCCACCCGCGGCCGGCCTCAAAATTTAGTCCCCGGCTTGCGGCCTACACTCGCGGCCGCCATTTTGGATCGTGGATATCGCGAGATTCTTGTGGCCATCTTGTTTTACTGCGTGGATCTCATTGGGGACTCAGTGGTTGCAGTTTTAGCTAGCTGCCACCTGTATCCTGCTGGATTTACTCCCTATTGTGACTTTCATCCCTGTGAGTGCCTAGGATTATCTGCTCAGCATTTCATCTGCTTCACAGACCTCCTACTCTGCATTCCTGTGCCTCTGTCTCCTACTACCAAGCTAAGACTCACTATATTCTGTGGCTGGGTCAGTCAGGTCAGTGCTGCTACCTGTTTATTATTGTGACCTGCACTTAAGGGTACCAGCCCTGTGCAACCGGGGTGAGCCCCCACTATAAATACATTTGTACCACGCTGCTTATTGGGAGACTAGCTGTTGCAGTTCTCTCTAACTGGGTGAGCCCCAGTTTATAAGATCACCAACTATACCCTGCTGGGGTTTATAACTGGGTGGCGTTGTTCCCACCACAACTATCATCAATTGACCCTACGCCTATACTCAAGACCTGGGTGCCCACTGTTTATTACTGTGCCTATAAGTGACGTATATCAGCCTACCCTTAGCATGGAAGACTCCCAGAACGTCCCTGTGGATTAACGCAGCCGTCGCTGCCTCTGTGGAGAAGGCACTCTCCAAGGTACGAGCTACAGCTCCAGACGTACCAAAACCTACCCGCAGGCCACCACGCCATGAGTCGGATTCTGATATGTCCGACTATCAGACCAGGGATGACTCCCGCCCTAAGAAACGCCATGAGAAAGGCGAAGATTATGCACCCAAACCACCCAAGGGTAAGGCACCTGCCAAGCGCAAGTCTGCCAAAGCAAGCACCCCGGCCCTGCGTCAGGAGTACTCTTCAGACGAAGAGCAGGGCCCTGCCCATTCCATGGCAGCGCTAGATGAGTGGCAAGCTGACGCTTCTGATTCGGACTACGACGCATGGGGTTCGGATGAGAAGTCTGTCTCCGCTTTTATGCGGGAGACCCTCCTGGGTGCGGCCCAGACAGGGTGTAATGAGGACACTGCGGACGCAGAGCCTCCTCTTGACTCAGACACCATTTTAGACCCCTCGGGTCAGGCGATGTTCGACCCCCGCAACATACGACACCCCAGATCGGGAGACTGGTCTCCTCCAGAACACCTTTCCAGGTTTATGCACCTGTGGCTCCGCAAGCCTCTAGAGAAAGAGGTCCGCAGCCGACTTAGGTCTGAATGCCCACGTCCTTCCCTGCCGGATAAGGTGGCTCAGACCCCCGAATTTGACAAGGTTATGACAACCTTCATGATGTGCAGTGGAAGAGACCCTCGCCGAGGGGTAGAGATAGGCCTATGGGGCGCTCAGGATAACCTGCTGGATTCCAGCCCCCTGGCCCATATTATGTACCTGGCGGATGACACCTACGCCAAAGCCGATTCCTTCTCTGCCGAGGACATCAGGGAATAGGCACATGTTGTTCGTGAGTGGGCACAACGGTGCTTTTGTTTCATTGGAAACACTAATGTTACGCTCTCTTCGGAGAGACGAAAAGCAGCGTTATACCGTATTAACGGTAAATTGGCAGAGCTTGGCACAAAGGAAATTGGGCCCCAGGCACAAGGGAAACTATTTGGTGAACCGTTCCTCAAGGAACTTAACAAACACGTGAACGTGTTCACCTCACTTAATAAAGCGCAGTCCTCAATGCGCAGAGTCTTCAGAAACAACCCTACCAGAGGGGTTTTTGGAAGGGCTGGCTGGCAACGGGGCCGTACCGCCAGCCGATTTTGGCCTTCAGGCCCACGTACCCAACCAACACCGTTTTACCCAACGACAGATTACCGGCAGCAGCCCTTTTCCAGAGGCTCAGACAGAGGCCGTGGACCCCGCGGACACGGACGTTCCCGTTTTGCTACAGGTAAGCACCCGTATTCCTCCGTTGTTGCCATACACCCGCACTGTGGGCCGTATTTCCCTTTCTTTCCAGAATTGGGCCGCCCTGTGTTCAGACACGTGGATCCTACAAACAGTTCAGGGATATATCATAGACCTAGTGGGGATCCCCTTTCAGACACAGCCCCCTCGCCCCATTCACATGTCGTCTTCCGACCATCATCTCGTCAACGCGGAACTACGCGAGCTTCGAGACAAAGGGGCTATCCAGCCGGCCCACGACTGGGGAGGTTACTTCAGCTATATCTTCCTGGTTCGGAAAAAGACAGGAGAATACCGCCCTGTCATCAACCTAAGCGCCCTCAACGCGTACGTGGTGTACCGCCACTTCAAGATGGAGGGCATCCACCTCCTGCGAGTGGTTCACCAGGCTCAATCTAAAAGATGCATACCTGTCAGTCCCAGTGCACCCGGACTGTCGAACACTCCTACGTTTCCTCTGGCACGGACGCCCTTGGCAATTCACCTGCCTCCCTTTTGGGCTCATCTCGGCCCCATGGTGTTTCACCAAGATCCTAAAACCAGTGGTGGCCCATCTGAGATCCAGGGGCATCCGATGCATCATCTACTTAGACGACCTCCTCTTCTTCTGCTCCGACGAACGCAGACTGCGTCAACACACTCATCTCGCAGTAACCCTACTGGAATCTCTGGGCTTTGTGGTGAACCAACAGAAATCGGAGTTGACCCCTTCCCAGACGATACAATTCCTGGGCTTCGAGATCGACTCGACAACATGCACTCTGAGACTACCAGCCTCAAAGATCTCAGCCATTCGCAAGGAGATTCGCAGAGTTCTTCGTCTCGATTCCATCCCACTACGCAACCTGGCCAGGATTGTAGGACTCCTCTCCGCTTCCATTCAAGCCATATTTCCGGGTCCCCTCCACTACAGAGCCATGCAACGGCTCAAGGCAAGATTCCACGCCGCAGACCCACGTACGATCAACCCGTCCTGGTGACGACGGAGGTTCGCTAAGAGCTATCATGGTGGCTGGACAGCATGCAAGCCTGGAATGGCAGGGCCATAATCGGAGATACCCCAGACTTCATACTGGAGTCAGACGCCAGCTTGTGGGGATGGGGTGCCACCAACGGAACAATCTCCACAGGGGGAACATGGACGGCACAGGAGCTCTCCATGCATATCAATTGCCTCGAACTCCTGGCGGGGTCCTTCGCAATCCGCAGCCTGGCCCGGGAAAGATCCAACTGCTGCATCCTTCTACGCATGTCTCTGCAGTCCGGTATATCAACCGCCTAAACGCTCACGCCTGCTGTCGGACATCACGAGGGACATCTTCGACTATTGCCTACCTCGCAACATCGCACTTCAGGCCGAATACCTACCCGGAGAAATCAACCTCACGGCCGACTGGTTCTCTCGCCACTGGAGAGACGTCAGCGACTGGAAGCTAAACACGAGAATCTTCAGGGCCCTGGCAGCCCGGAGGGGTCCTTTTCACCTGGATCTGTTTGCTTACCACAACAATCACCAGACCCCGGAGTTCTTCAGCTGGCTCCCAGACCCGGAGAGCAAGGCGACAGACGCATTTCTCCAACAATGGCTGGCGACCGGGGCCTACACCTTTCCCCCATTCTCCATGATTGCGAGAACATTACACCAGATGCGGACGCAACAGGTCACACTGGTTCTCATAACACCCTTGTGGCAGAGCCAACCATGGTTCCCGGATCTCCTGGCCTCCTCCTGGGAGGACCCTCTACTCCTACCATCCTTTCCGGACCTGCTTCACCCACTTATCCTGGAAGACCGTCTACCCCTGGTGGCTTGGACTCTTTCCGGGGTTCCTGGCAAGTCAGCGGACTATCGCAGGCTACTATGGGATTCCTGGGCCCCCAGAACTAGACGCTGTTACCTTTCAGCTTGGGCCTCCTGGTCTACTTGGTGCGTGGAACGGGACTCCGATCCATTTACAGCACCTATTCCCATGATTCTCAATTTCCTTTCATCATTGTTTTCGTTGGGCCGCTCCTACCGTTCTGTTAACGTTGTTTGCTCCGCGATTTCGGCGGCCCACACCCCCGTCAGGGATCTTCCGGTTGGCAAAGACCCTCTGGTCTGCCGCCTGCTCCGCGGTATGCGGCTCCCCCGGCCCCCAGGTACCCTCATCTATGGGATGTTGGACTGGTTCTCCGTTTTTTCAGGGATTGGCTTCCGAATGGCCGCCTCTCACTACGCCAATTATCCGCTAAGTGCGTGTAGCGGAGAGGCAGTATAATCCACGATATCTCCGCTGGGTAACAGGAACAACAAAGGATAATCCAGGGAATAAGCATAGTATAATCCAAGTAGCACTGCAGGAACCCTTCCTTCCCAAGAACTAGACGACACATAGGCTGGGAGTCAACTGAGGTCTTTTATTTCAGCTCCACAATTTATACAAGTCCCCATGCAAGGGGTTTCCTGAGTCCCCTTCCAGGGGCATTCCCTGAGGGGACTACATGGGGGACTTACTGTACAGGGCATTTCTCCCATCAGGCACTGCTGCACGAGAGGGACCCTCCCACAGGAATGTACCGTTAAGTGGATTATCCCTCCGTGCAGCAGAACCTACAATTCGTATTAAAATGCATAACTCTCTGAATATATGGTCTATTTAAACGAATGGACGTTCGGTAGATAGTTGGGGTCTGAGCGCATCATTCGTGAGATTACCGCTCAGATCCCAGCTAAAACAACCGAACGCCGCACGAAAAACACATTCATTAAAACATATCTTCAAAAGACCGATTGTATGTAAGGGAACAGGATACGAACGGCCCGGACCTCCCGAATGGCCTGGAAGCTCAGCGGTGTTCGTGCCGTCGAGTAGCCGTTTTTAGTACCATGCGCTCGACGACCAAACACCGCTGAGGGAACAAAGGATCCAAGATGGCCGACCGCCGCATGGTCGGTAGTCGAATGATGGTCACCTTGGAGAGCCTCTAATTACCGATTGCAACATTGTTGCAATCGGTTAATAGGCGCCACACGCCTCTAAGTTTGTGGACTATTAAATGATGGTTTGTTCGGTTCACGAACGGCCTGCAAAGGTGCCGTTCGTGAAACGAAAGGGAATCAGCTATCTGCTTTCGGCAGATAGCCCAGGCAGGAAATACAGTATTACAATTGCATTACATTACACGCTGGAACACATATAGAAACATAGAAACATAGAATGTGACGGCAGATAAGAACCATTCGGCCCATCTAGTCTGCCCAATTTTCTAAATACTCTCATTAGTCCCTAGTGTTATCTTATAGTTAGGATAGCCTTATGCCTATCCCACGCATGCTTAAACTCCTTTACTGTGTTAACCTCTACCACTTCAGCTGGAAGGCTATTCCATGCATCCACTACCCTCTCAGTAAAGTAATACTTCCTGATATTATTTTTAAACCTTTGTCCCTCTAATTTAAGACTATGTCCTCTTGTTGTGGTAGTTTTTCTTCTTTTAAATATAGTCTCCTCCTTTACTGTGTTGATTCCCTTTATATATTTAAATGTTTCTATCATATCCCCCCTGTCTCATCTTTCCTCCAAGCTATACATGTTAAGATCCTTTAACCTTTCCTGGTAAGTTTTATCTCGCAATCCATGAACCAGTTTAGTAGCCCTTCTCTGAACCCTCTCTAAGGTATCAATATCCTTCTGAAGATACGGTCTCCATATAACATGAAAACTATACAGGCAACCCTTAAAGCGACAGTACATAAATAATGTCCAAGTGGCTAGGTTTGCCACAGTGTGCCTTTCTTCTTTGTCTAGTGTCCTTTCAATGGGTTTCAGACGTTCGAGCCTTCGACGTCGACGCCTTCGAAGTGGCCCCTGAAGGGGTCATATTCCACATTTCACGTTGCACTAAGTCGGGTTCGACTT